AAGAACATACAAGAAATTCTGTCAAGTTGGGTTAAGTCAAAAACTGTAAAAAGTTTAAAAAATCATATCAACCTCATTTTGAGGAGTTAAGAAATGATTTATATCTCAAATTAAAGATGAAACAGTCTATTTTTGGATTTGATATAGAAATAGTAGTGTTAGATATAAAAAAATTTTCGAAAAAGAACATACAAGAAAATCTGTCAAGTTGGGTTAAGTCAAAAACAGTAAAAAGTTAAAAAAATCATATCAACCTCATTTTGAGGAGTTAAATAATGATTTATATCTCAAAATAGAGCTGAAACAGCCTATTTTTAGATTTGATATAGAAATAGTAGGGTTCGATACAAAAAAATTTTCGAAAAAGAACATACAAGAAATTCTGTCAAGTTGGGTTAAGTCAAAAACTGTAAAAAGTTTAAAAAATCATATCAACCTCATTTTGAGGAGTTAAGAACTGATTTATATCTCAAATTAAACCTGAAACAATCTATTTTTAGATTTGATATAGAAATAGTAGGGTTCGATATAAAAAGTTTTTTGAAAAAGAACATACAAGAAAATCTGTCAAATTGGGTTCAGTCAAAAATAGTAAAAAGTTTAAAAAATCATATCAACCTCATTTTGAGGTGTTAAGAAATGATTTATATCTCAAATTAAAGTTGAAACAGTCTATTTTTGGATTTAATATAGAAATAGTATGGTTTGATAATGAAAGTTTTTCGAAAAAGAACATACAAGAAAATCTGTCAAGTTGAGTTAAGTCAAAAACAGTAAAAAATTTAAAAAATCATATCAACCTCATTTTGAGGAGTTAAGAAATGATTTATATCTCAAATTAAATAATAAATTTCCAAAAAAGAACTATTATATACTGATGGTTCTCACTTCTCAGCACGAATAAGGGATCTTTCCTCAAAAGAAATTAATAAACCAATTTTGGTGAAATTTTTTTTACAACACGAATTTTTTAATCTCGATTTCCTTGAGGTCTTAGTAACACTATGTAGGAGGGTAAAAATTTCCCGATCTTTGAATAATGTATTTCCCATAAGGAGGTGCCGGGTCCTGGGTCCACATCCAATCTAAAAACCTGACGCAGTAGCGAAATGCTCCAGGGGAGAGAAGGTGTTGGAAAGGTTCTGATGGGAGTGGGTCAAAATCGGATGGAAGAAGGGGCAGATTGTAGCAGTTTAAACACTTTACATGCGAAAGATACGCGATAGTAACGTGTACGAGACCCTTTCGTCTTCAGGATGTTTCATGAATATCACATGAGTTTGCGTGAGAACCGCAAAAGTCAACGTGTATGTGTGTTTTCGGTACTTTTCTATTGGTTTATTTTTTTTTGTTACTACTTTTTGGTGTCCTTTTTGTAGAATTCTTTAGAGGTTCGAATACGTTCACTCGGGTCACTTTAATCCTTACAAGAAATACTACCCAGCAATCCGCTTCGAATTCACTCATTCGTTCTGCGTAATGGTTGGGACGGACGTTAAAGCTCCCGTATCCGCATTGGCGGTCAGTAGGGTATAAAATTAATCCGGACGAGCGATAAAAACCAGGTTCCGGTAACGCTACGTAGCACACCTAGCTTGAAAATATCTTATCTAGACATAGAACCGCGTCAACTTATGTCCTCGGCCCCGTACGTTTTTGCTTTGGCCAAATTGACTTAATATTTTATTCTTATCCTTTGGGGTAAATGCGACCTCACCGATCCAACGCCGACCATCCAGTCCGTTAGCGAGAACGGCCTTCTTTTGTGCTGGATTTACAGCGGATTATTACTTTCTTTACGTCCTGGGGCGACAATTTCCCGTTTAATTTTCCCAGGAAATCTACCACCCTTAACGTTTACTGTTAGAACGTGAGATCTATAAAACTTTTTTCTTTTGGGTCACACCAAATGGTATTCATCACCTAAATTAGATAAAACAAACTCTAAAATCTTGAAATCTATTACTTGTTTGACAGTTTTTCTTTTGTACAAGATAAATCGACCTCGATTTGTATTCACGGTTTACACCATCCCACAATTGCACGTTTATAAAGTGTCCGGGATTCTCCGGGAACCCGTCCAAGTGATTCGTTGTCATTCTACTGAAAATGTAACACCACAGAGAACTTTTCAAAGTAGATTTATTGAATGTAACCAAACGAAAGCAATTTCTTAGTAACTCAAACAATATTGTTGACTTATAATTAAATTATTAATGGTTAAATTACACAATTAGATTATCCATACTATTGTAATTAGTTGAGTACACACAAATTCTAATTCAGCTTGGAGAATCGATTCGTGTTATTCCCATCTTAGGTTATTTCACTTTAAACAAGGACGAGGTATATCTATACGTCTAAAATGTTATATATTTAAAATGTTCGCTATTTCATCATGATATCTCAAATCGTCTTTGAGATACGATTTTTTATATTACTGCTTTTACCATAAACAGCAATCAAATACGTAGAGTTGGGTTTAAAAAATCATAACAAGTACGTTTATGGAAATTAAAAAAATCTTTTTGGTACACTCAAACTCAATTAAATTTGCTTTAAAATGCTTCTCATTTCATCATGATATCTCAATTCGTCTTTGAGATACGATTTTTTATGTTATTGCTTTTACCATAAACAGCAATCAAATACGTAGAGTTGGGATTAAAAAATCATAACAAGTACGTTTATGGAAATTAAAAAAATCTTTTTGGTACACTCAAACTCAATTAAATTTGCTTCTTATTTCATCATGATATCTCAATTCGTCTTTGAGATACGATTTTTTATGTTATTGCTTTTACCATAAACAGCAATCAAATACGTAGAGTTTTGTTCAAAAAATTATAACAAGTACGTTTATAGAAATTAAGAAAATATTTTTGGTACACTCAAACTCAATTAAATTTGCTTTAAAATGCTTCTTATTTCATCATGATATCTCAATTCGTTCTTGAGATACGATTTTTTGTATTACTGCTTTTAAAACTTATAACAATCAAATGTGTAAGGTTGTGTTTAAAAAATCATAACGAGGTTGTTTATGAAAATTATGAAATTATTTATGGCATACTCAATCTGAACTAAATTTCCTTTAAAATGCTTGCTATTTCACAATGATATCTCAAATCGTTCTTGAGATATGACTTCTTTTAAATTTATAACAAAGAAAGGTGCAAAGTTAAAATTAATTTGTTACAACGATGTTTATGAAAATAAGAAAATTATTTATGGTACATTAAATCTCGATTAAATTATCTTTAAAATGTTCGCTATTCCATCACGATATCTCAATTCATTCTTGAGATATGATCTGTTAAAGTTGTATGTTCCAAATTTATCATAATCAAAGATACAAAGTTAATATCAACCTCATTTTGAGGAGTTAAGTAATGATTTATATTTCAAAATAAAGCTGAAATAGCCTATTTTTAAATTTGATATAGAAATAGTATGGTTTGATATAAACATTTTTTCGAAAAAGAACATACTAGAAAATCTGTCAAGTTGGGTTAAGTCAAAAATAGTAAAAAGTTTAAAAAATCATATCAACCTCATTTTGAGGAGTTAAAAAATGATTTATATCTTAAATTAAAGATAAAACAGTCTATTTTTGGATTTTGTATAGAAATAGTAGGGTTTGATATAAAAAGTTTTTCGAAATAGAACATACAAGAAAATCTGTCAAGTTGGGTTAAGTCAAAAATAGTAAAAATTTAAAAAATCATATCAACCTCATTTTGAGGAGTTAAGAAATGATTTATATCTCAAATTAAAGTTGAAACAGTCTATTTTTGGATTTGATATAGAAATAGTAGGGTTTGATGTAAAAAGTTTTTCGAAATAGAACATACAAGAAAATCTGTCAAGTTAGGTTAAGTCAAAAACAGTGAAAAGTTTAAAAAATCATATCAACTTCATTTTGACGAGTTAAGTAATGATTTATATCTCAAAATAAAGCTGAAATAGCCTATTTTTAAATTTGATATAGAAATAGTATGGTTCGATATAAAAAATTTTTCGAAATAGAACTCAAACGAAGAACGATGTAAACTCAGCCTTCTTACCTCCTCTTTAACTTCTTAGCATTCATTAACCACTCGTTATCTTTCAAGCCATATTTCTTTCTTCAGATTTCAGAACTGTTGTGTTACCTTTTTACCATTCCTTCTCTCATTATCTCTTATATACTCCCCATTGTGGTAATTTCAGAATCTTTCTTTATATTTTTAACAGCTCCAACTTTCTCCTCCGTTCATAATAATAACTCATCATATTTGTATTCAAATCCTTTCTATGTTCAAGTCCTCTCTCTCTCTTAGTGCCTTCTTCCCTCATCGTCAACTTCTTGTATGCTCTGCCCAATTTCTTATTATCTATGATTTATATTTTTATCATAGTATAATTATACTTTATTATCAATTTTTTAATTTTAACCAAACACAACCTATTTGGTACCATTTTACACACTTTTTTTATGCTTCGTTTTAGATTAAAACCACTTAAGTTCCATTGTACAAAGAGGCAGGTGTTTGTAAAGCGTTAATAAAGAATCGTGCTCTTTGCGAGGCCATCGGTTTTTATTTCAGCCCGAGACAAAATCTCTCTTCTCGTGTTGACTTTCCTCCTGCCCTTCTTGAACAAACAGTCCGCGATATTAAACGGGAAAAACGGACTGATGATTTCGGAACGGACTACAGATTGCTTACGAACGAAGCCCATCGAGATATTTCCGGAAAATTAAATTCGCAGTCGGGATGGTCGTTTTTTCTTGTTGTTTAAAAGAAATTCGGTGTAAAAATCTTTGTTATTATGGTTGGGGTATTGCGATATTGTTCGTGGTGGAATAAGAAGGGCTTTTCGTTGCGCCGGAAGCACGCCTTCGAGCTTTTCTCGAATCCTCCATGTTTTGCATATAAAAGAAACCGTCACTTTTGACTATTTTACGCTTTTACATTGTATTTATATTATTTCTAAAAAAAATTAAATATATCTTTTTGTTATTAATTTTTTATTAAATTCTTAACAAATCGAAAATGTTTCTTGGACAACCATCATCATGTTCAATACCGAGAAGATAGTTCCAAATATGCATATAAAACGGTTGCGGTTTATACACCGGTTGGCGACAAATTGTTTTTCTTAACACATTCCACGTATTGCATAATCCTTCTTTGATTAATTCGATCATTTCACAAGTTTTTTTGTGCCAATCCTCTCGATCGTCTCGATTCGCGAAATCGACGTATTTTATTAAATGAAAGCTGATGTTAAAAGCCATTAGTAATGAAAATACAAAAACATATTTCTTGACCATGGTCGAAAAAGAAATCTAAAAACATTTTTAAATAATAATGTAGAAGAAATAAATGTCATTTTGACGTTGTTAATACATAAGTAATTAGATTTTACCTTTTTTTTAGATGCATAAAATTTCGTACGCTTATTCAAATTCATGTGGTTAATTTTATTAATGTTTTCGCGAGTAAAGAAAAGAAATAATAACGGAAAATTTTAAATAATTTACGATCCCGAACCGCGAATTGAAGTTATCATTTCGAAACTATGGAATTCTGTTGTTTATATTAAGAAAATTATGTATGTCAATAAATGAAGACAAAAACGTTCTTTCAACGATGAATGGAATTACTTCATGAGCCCAAGTCAACATACTTAACATCTATTCATATCTTGAACGTTCGCTTCAATTGCTACTAGAATTCCTACAATACGTCCCAGAACGCGTTCGATAAAGGATTACTGTACACAATACATAATACCTGCCACCACCAACTAACTACCATATCAACCATACTGAAGGTTGGATTATTGACGATAATGTAACCTTGTATACTATGGGGAAAGGGCAATACAGGAACTATATGCAACTTTAAAATGATATAGAGCCAAGCTTTTAAGCTATTGAAATTGTGTGGTTGTCGATTTTATTATAAAATTCTAAATGGGTAATATAAAATGTCTATAACACTTTATTTTATTACGTATTGTAATAATATAATCAAATCGTTCAGGTTTTCTTTTGTTAAAAAAGTTCAAGAATCATCATGTGACTTAAAAATCGACGATTTTTTTGTAATCACCGTGAAATGACTCAAAAAAAAACGTTAAAAATAAAAAAAAAAAGTACGGAAAAGTATAAATTTTGACATATTTGTAATCTTCATTAAAAATCCTTTAAAATGAGTACAAACACGACATATTTATCTTCAATATTAATGAAGTTATGGTCAACTTCCGGTTAAGTCAACGTCAATTTTGACATATTTGTAATCGTCGTGAAAAATCCTTTAAAATGAGTCCAAACATGATACGTTTAATTCCAATATTACTCGAGATATAAGCAACTTCCGGTTTGAAATGTCAATGTCATTTTGACATATTCTTAATTTTTATAAAATGTCTTAATATTTGTCACAAAAACAAAAATATAATAAAAAAAAATCTAAAATTAAGGTTGGTACTAATATTTAAAAATTAAATTGCCATCTTCATTGTTGCCAACTTCGGGTTTAATGTTTTTTATTCTAACTTTTTTGTTTTTTGAGATAAGTGCGTCATCTTTGGACTCATTTTAAAGGTTTTTTAATGAAGATGACAAATATGTCAAAATTGACGTTGACGTTTCAAACCGGAAGTGATTGTATTTCCATTAATATTAAAGTTAAATATGTCGAGTTTGGACTCATTTTAAAGGATTTTTTATGAAGTTGACAAATATGTCAAAATTAAAAGTTGAAAGTTCGAACTTTTTGGTTTTTTGAGATAAATGCGTCATGTTTGGACACATTTTAAAGGTTTTTTTAATAAAGAATACATCATGAAAGAACACCATAAAGTTGTCCATTTATCTATTATATGATAACTAACTTCAGGTTTAAAATGTCAACCTCAATTTTGACATATTTGTAATCTTCATTAAAAATCCTTTAAAATGAGTACAAACACGACATATTTATCTTCAATATTAATGAAGTTATGGTCAACTTCCGGTTTGAAATGTCAACGTCATTTTGACATATTTTTAATTTTTATAAAATGTCTTTATATTTGTCACAAAAACAAAAATATAATAAAAACAAAAATAAAAAATTAAGGTTGGTATTAATATTTAAAAATTAAATTGCTATCTTCATTGTTGCTAACTTCAAGTTTAATATTTTTTGTTTTTTGAGATAAGTGTATCCTGTTTGGACTCATTTTAAAGGTTTTTTAATGAAGATGACAAATATGTCAAAAGTGACGTTGACGTTTCAAACCGGAAGTGATTGTATTTCCGTTAATGTTAAAGTTAAATATGTCGAGTTTGGACTCATTTTAAAGGTTATTTTATGAAGATTACGAATATAATAATGAAATTAAAGTTGACATTGACAACTGAAAGCTTCATGAAAGCTTTTCCTTAATAATACGAATGGTAGAATGTTATACCAACATATCTATTAATGGTAAAGTTAAAAGACCTCAACCATGCCTTCCACATCCATCCCGGCAAAGACAATCCCCAATCAATACCGTTTAAATAGTTCTTTATACCAAAGGAATTTGCTTTCTTGTAAAGAAGGAATTTGTTTTTGTATTAATAAAATGTTGTAAACATGTTCAATTCATTATATATTGTTGACCGCTTACGTTTTTTATTGTATTTAATCCATGTAAAGTCCATACGAAGTAATTTTGTAGAATTTTGACAGATACATAACCTCAAATTTCATTTTTCATTAATTTCTTATTGTAATTCCTATTTGTCCGGTTGAAAGTATTCAAAACGATAATCTTAGCATGTCAAGAACGAAAACCATCCATCATATGGGAGTTTTGATGAAAAATTAGTCAAAAATTCGTAGATTAAATATTTGAATATATTTTTGAAGCTGGACGTTGAAATCTAAAAGAAAATGTTCCGAAATCAGCAAAACAAAGTTAAAACAATAAAACTACAACATTTCATGCATAAATATTGTTAAAATAGAAATTTTAATAATTTTTGATAAAATTTAATTGGTGACATTTGACATTTCGAAGTTGGCGATACCGGAGAAATTTAAATTACGAATTTCAAGTCGAAGAATTTAACCAATCAGATAACGTTATTTAAAAGGTTCTTGCAATAAACAAACGAAACGGTTGATTTTAGTGTGATTTCGAACGTGATGAGGAGTGCACGCAAATTTTTGTCCTCGATCGTTTTAAAAATCAAAAGTTAGGTTAATTGTCAATCAACATTGTGACATAACCTCAAAAATAGAAAACATTAAGAAGTTAAATAAGAAGAAAAATTAAAATTAATCACCTTTTTAATAATAAACAAGAAAATTAAGTGATTCCTGATCCAATTAATCCATTCCGAAGAATTATTCCAATCCAATCAAGAATCATTGTTTCCGAGTCCAAATTTTCTTAACCGAGAACTTCAATAAACTACAAGATAAGTTAAGTTATAATTTTCAATTTCATTATTATTCGTTCATTTTTATTTATTTTAATTTTCAACTAAAATTTCACTTACCTTAAATATGATTAATTTTAGTTATTATTTTGTTTGGTTATGTTATTACGATTTCATTTCGTTTAATTTAAATTTGATTAATTAATTTACTTCGTATTACTTAACTACAAGTTAAAAGATAATATTATTAATTATTTCACTGAGAGTTTTGTTAAAATATTTATTTTTGTAGGTACTCGTTTACTCAAGCGTTGACCCACAAATAACCCTGAAGTTTCATCTCACACTTACCTGAGTCATTTGAAAATTTGACAACGTTGTAGAACAGTGTTGAAAGTTAAATTGAATTTAAATTTTTTCTTATTTGTTTGTTTTCTTTAGCAAAAAAAACAGCTTCATCAAATTCTTGTTAACGATTTGGATGTTCTTGAAAAAACCCAATTTTCTAAACGTTGTTAACTTCAAAGAATGCCAGAGCTCAACTCCAAAACATAACTTTAGACTTTCGACATCTGAAGCTTTTAAACTGATTAATTTATTCATTCCGTGTTATATTTTTAATGAAATGGTTGAAATGCTTGTCTTTGATGTGTAATATTAATTTTTCTCGAAAATTAATTTGAGTTCAGTGAATTCATTTAATTATAATTCGCAACAGTCAACACACAATTGATACCCGTCGTTATTATCAACGTAATTCAGTTTATTGTTTTTACTACTTCGATTACAAATATAAAATATTGCTCCGGGAGCAATTAATATGAAATTTAATGTTATTTCATTTACAGATTGGAGCAATTTACGTTGTAAATAGACGTTTAGTAAATAGCATACAACGTATAAATTTAGTATTTACCGATTAATTAAATTTCGCACTCAATTAAATTTAAACCGAATTAAACTAAATGATGCAAAAGTTCATTTCGATAATAAACGACAAATGTTAATGTGGGCGGTTATTGAAAAAATTTCAATTTAAATGTGTTTTTTGCCTTGTGAAAGTAGTAGTTTTAAGTGCTACATCAAAAAAAAAAAAAAAGAAATTAAGGAAAAACTGACATCATACTCATATCATAATAACTAATTCCTGTTCCACATTGTTCAAAACTTATCTAAATGAATAAGAACTGTTTCATAACCATTCCAAGTCATACAAAATGATTAAAAACTGGTTGGGTTGCGTTAAAAACTTCTCAAAAGATTGAGATCTTATTCACAACTATTCCATCGTATCTTGTAACTTGTCTAAATGGTTCAGAATTGGTTTTTATATATTCCAAGTCGCCCACAATGATTAAAACCTACTTGGTTTAGGTTGCAAACTTGTCTAAATGGTTAAAATCTCGTTCATAACTATACCACGTTGTGCAAGATAATTAGAAACTGCTTGGGTTGGGTTGTAAACTTGTCTAAATGGTTAATAACTAGTTAATTCGTATGGCAAGTTGTTCAAAACTAGTCTAAATGAATAAAAACTGGTTCATAACAATTCCAAGCGGTTAATTAAATTTCGTACTCAATTGAATTTAAATCGAATTTAAATCTAAATGATGTAAAAGTTCATTTCGGTAATAAACGACAAATGTTGATGTGGGCGGTTATTAAAAAAATTTCAATTTGAATGTGTTTTTTGCCTCGTGACGTTCAAAAGTTTTTTAAACAAATCCCTTATCGCATCGAAACAACACATAAATTATTTTCACGAGATCCCATATTACGATAGGAATTTTTAATATTACGTGGCTGGTAAATGGGAAACGAGGGGTGAAGGTTGAAGCGGGGGGTGGCTTCGGCAACAGCCTAGTGCTGTCAAAATTTAACGGGAAAATACGCGGGTTTGTGTCACCCACGTCGACAAATTACCGGACCGGCACCAAGAGAAGTATTTATGGGCAACAGATGGCACCGTCGACTATTATTATTGCTACCCCTGCGTTCCCATTTTCCGCGGTTGGTATTCGGTTGCTTTCACCCAAAAAAAAAAATCACCCCCTCCGAATTGGGATATCGATGGCAGAACATTTATTTGAAACTAAAACGTTATTAAACCAGAAATGGCCACCGAAATATATTTCAAAACCTAATTATAATACATTTAAACCTAATTTATAATGAAACACCGCACCGCGTGCGTGTTACGAGTGGTTTTAGCAAAATAACTGGATGTAGTAGTTGCGGAAATAAAAAAAATCAACGACCGTAACGGGTTGAAACTAACTGGAGGGAGTTGCATTCGTAAAATGCAAATACAACTAATTCGGGTTGTATTTTCAATGCAACCTGACCTGAATGTCTGCACCGAAATTCACTACACGCATCACATCTGTCCATTTTATCGACGAAATCTAATGACGATCGAAACGGGCACGAAACCCGACCTAATAAATGAACAGCATCATTTGCGTTATACTGTTAAATCGATGCGAATGTATCGGTTACTGCATAGAGATCGACAAATGGACGGCAATCGCATAACAATGAACTTCATCGTATACCCGATCTTATTAGGATCTCATGATACCAAATACAACACTATTATAATCAAAATTTTATAAATTAATACTGCAAATTTTTTTTAGAAAGAATCCTGCTGCTTCAATATGTCTCATTCAAGCGACAAACCGATCAAGTCCTCCAAAATCAACCACACACTGCAATCCATCGGATTGAAATCTAGTAAATAGGGCGTCCACTCACCAAATGGGACAAATCTAAATAAATCTAAAACTATGTTAGCTCCACATAGTACGATTTGAAAAGTGTTTCAGTTCAATCGACTCGCTTTTGAATGGTTTTGCGGTTCCTGGACATGTTGGTGTTGCATAAACCAGAAGAATAAAGCTGCACTATTAACACTCAATATAAGTAATGAAAAAAAAAAACAAAGAAGAAAAAACGAATGGTCTAAATGAATCGTGTCAAAACCTAGTTGGGTTGGATTGAAAAGTTGTCTAAATGGTTAATAACTAATTAATTCCTATTCCACGTTGTTCAAAACTTGTCTAAAGGAATAAAAACTGATTTTCAAGCAATGCATAACGAGTGAATATAATTATATTATATTCCAGAGGATGCAATATATGCCAAAGTATAGAGTCGTGACAAATTTCTTTTGAAAATCGATATCAGGCCTAGAAAATTTTTATTTCGCGTTATTTTACGTAATATTTTCTGAAAGTTATGAAATATTATTCTTAAGAATGAGTAAAAAAGAAAGGAGTTTGAGATTTGTCGGAATCCGCACAGAAGGCCATCATATAGGGTGCTTGACAAGGATGCACACAGATGCAGCTCATCACGCAGATATCATCGGTATTGAAGACGTGGAGGACACTTGGTTGCTTCGTGACGAAGAAACTAAAATGCTAGACCTCAAATCACCACCCGGCTGGAGGACAGGAACGGCGCGATGCTGTACAGAGCGAACACACGGCTCATGACGGTGGACTTTGGAGGAGAATTATGGTCTGCGCAGCGCCAACCGTCTACATCAACAGTCAAGAGGAGGCTGAAGGATGCAGGACTCATTGGTCGACGTCCAGTAAAGAAACCACTCATTTCAGCTAAGAACAGGAAGGCGCGCGTGGAGTAGGCGAACGCGCCCCTCAACTGCACCCAGCAGCAGTAGGAGAACGTCCCTGTGGAGCGACGAGAGCAAGTTCCTGCTATTCGGAACTGATGGCATATCGTGCATACGCCATCCTTCGGGCACTCGCTTCAATCCCAAGTACCTGCTTCCCACGATGAAGCATGTCGGTGGTTCCGTCATAGTGTGAAGGTACTTCAGCGCTGCTATCACCGGCCTTCTTGTTCGCATTACGGGCACCATGACCCGCCAGAAGTACAGGGATTGTCTGCAAGATGACATGCTTCCTTGGCCACGCAAAAACATGGGTCGGTGTTGGCTGTTTCAGCAAGACAATGATCCCAAGCACACATCCAGGAATGTCCAACTGGATCGCGCAGCGTTGAGTGACGGTAATGGACTGGTGCACCCTTTGACACTAGTTGACGGGTATTCGGACCACTTTCGCCGACGAAAAGCTCCAACAGCTGCAGGCGAAGTGGGTGAAGATCGACCAGTCCACTATCGATGCATTGATCGATTCCATGCCCAAATGTCAGGCTGTGATCAACAGGATGGGTTACCCAACCAAGTACTAGGTTGCTCTGCATGGCGGATTGCCGGTCACGATTGTTATGTTAATATTTCTTGAGTTATGATTTATTTTTGTTGACATCGCTTTATAGCGTATTTTCGTATTTTAATAAAAATAATTTTTTAATAACTCAAAGTTGAAACGGATTCTTCCACACAAGTCTATGTCATGTGAAATACATTGCAAAAACTATGATCAAAAAATGGTCTGCTGATTAAAATCTAGTTGGGTTGGGTTGCAAACTTTTCTAATTGGTTGAGAACTCGTTCATAACTATACTGCGTTGGGTCAAAATAATTGGCAACTTCTTGGGTTGGGTTGTAAACTTGTCTAAATGATTAAAACAGCTTTTTCAATAATTTTTGATATCGCGCCAGCTTTTTGTTTCCTTCTAGTTACCATTCCTGTTTATCAGTATTTTCGCTATTACACAGATCCACGTTTTTCTTGGTTTACCCTTTTCTCCTGTTTTTTTATATATATCTGTCTTCTTTACGTTTTTAAGTGGTACTTCCTCTCCCATCATTTGCAAGTATCTCCACTACCCTAGTTATCTCCCTTTAATATATGCCTTCAACATAGGTTATATTCCCAAATATCAACAATATGTTATGTTATATTTTAATGCAAATGGTGATCTAACGTATTCATTTGAGAAAAAGTTTAAGTCTAATTTATTAATTAACCTTGTTGAACATTGAAAGACTTCAGCTAAAACCCCCGACGTTGAAAAAAAAGGCAATAAAAAAATTTAAAGTCAACGAAATGACCTGACCTAACTAGAAAACACATCATGAATGAAACATGAAGGGCTGACGTTAAAGCGGCCTTTCATGTCTTGGAAACCCTTAAAAAGACCGTCTACTAATTAGTCATTTACTAGACCGAGAAACAATTTTCTACTAAGTAAAGGTCATTTTAATT